GGATTCAAACGAGTAGACATAATATTCAATAGATTGATGGAATAATAATTTGAAGTTAATTAGCGTCTCAGCTTGTTATCAAGCATGTTTAGTATACGAGATGAATTATCTTCTATATATACCATATCGTACATACTACGTCTTCTACATATACCGTAGTATACCGTACATACATATACCATAGACTAATCTATCACGTATAATGTTCCTCTTTGATAATCAAGTCGACGTGTAAAATACACTAATTATCTTCCTACGTTATCATCAATCTTAAACATTCTCGTTCGCCTTGGATACAAATTAGTACGCTTGCCTTCAGAGTTCTTATTCCATTAAGAATTAAATTCTCATTCCGCAAAAAATTCATAAAGTGCTTTTATGGTTTACACGACGACCCTGATCTTCATATTTCATGGCAACTGAGCTGATCCTAGTACGAAAAAAGGTTCGTATCACTTCCAGTGTATGTACAAAACTTAATCACTTATCGAGTGATTAAAAAATTAAAATCGTTTAATTAAAATCCTTTATCTCCAAGGGGGGAAGATTTAGTCCAAGATTTCAGTCACAAAACGTCCGTGTGAACTTCGTGATTAAGAACGGGTCGACGATAAAAAAAAGTTATTCTTATTGTGTTGAGTTAATAAAGACCTATCCTCGTTTTAACGTGCGTAAGAATGTTAATCTTCATTAGAAGAATAAATGTTTACAGTTGAATGATAAAATTGTTTCTACTATCCGAGAGATTTCCATTAATTTACTCCTCGGCTCCCAAATCCTTTGGGAACGGTGGTATCTGAATATAACCGAGTATGCAACTACAGGATTACTACATCCTTTCCTACTGAAGGCTATTCCCAGTCTCCCGTTTTGTTCAATTTTGCATTAACTGCATCGGCAATGAATAGCTTGTCATTGAGTCGAAAGTAAATAAATTAGATTCTACCTACGATTGAGAAGATCGCATGCTGCATGCTTCATTATTATACAGCAAGAAATTAAATTTATAAGAACTGATCTGCACAGTGTATGTCTTTAAAAATATGTAATTTTCATTTGGAAATTATGATTAAGATAGAACTTTGCGTAACGATTTCCTAATCTCAAACGATGCGTGTATGCATATTCGTTACCCGTTCTCACGTTGTGCCCTGTGAATCGTGACTACCGATCCCAGTGTGTTTTGATACGGAAAAAAGTGGAGCCGTCAGGCGAGCCGTGCATCCTTTTCGCGATACGGAGGAAGTTTAATAGAAAGATCGGCCGCGGATCGGTTACTTATGTATCTCAAGCCTCGCGCCTGCACGCAGATCTACTAATGTGAGAAATTCTGCAACATCGATTCAACCTTTTTTAGGGCCCGCGATTTCCACGTTACGCAACCGATGCAAAGAAGACGTTAATCACGATTCTTGCCAGACGCGATTGTTGTACACCGCTTGTGCGAAAAGCGTGAGGAAACGGGTTGAAGTCACCATGAAATGCGTACGCTTTGTAAATTAAGAATGCGATTAGATTTCCGGAGCCTTGCAAATATACGCAAATTTTTATATATTATATGTAAAAAATATGATGTATAAATAAACATAACAGAACTATAAAATCGATATAAGATTTAATAATGTTACACTTGTGTTGACACAAAACAAGGAACCTTGGTTTTTCATTTATTCTTTAACTTTGAATAATTTGATGGAATTATAATTTTATATTCAATTTAATAATGAAATCAACTATATATTTTTTTGCACATACACTATATGAATACAGTGTCCAAATATTAATTTTATTGATTGATTTTATGCAGGGTACAAAATCATTACGAAATAAAATGGGTACAAATACTGATTTCTCTTCCTGTACGTGCTCTAATTTTCAAGCGTTGAAACGTGGTCTACTGTCAGCAAAAGGACCAAGAGGATTTGTAACGCCAAGCGTTCAACTGTCGTCGAGAGTTTACTAGTTTCTTGGCTCGATTAAATATTCTGAGGGGCAATCTTACATCCTATAAGCAGACCGCCCGGAGCGTGAGAGCGTGACCGGGTGGTGAGTATGACAAGAGATTGGTACACTGGAGTCTCCGCGCGTAGCATATCAGGATCGAGAGATATAAAAATTCACCGATCAATCAATGGATCGTTCCATGGAACACGTTGGCAGAACAGTAAAAATAAAATTGTAACGAATAAAAGTCTAGTTTATAAAAAGAGTAGTTGTCATAAAGTCTTATTGCTTTGTATATGTGGCTAATTTTTTGATACATTTTTTTAAATTTCAAAATAGATTAGTATCAGCATTTAGTTAGGGGAATCTAAAATTGTCACGGACTTATTTTAGTTCATTATCCTTAATATTAATGCTTGTTAAAATTATAAAACAATATGCACCACTTCCAATGATAAATGAAGATGACATTGAATTTTCATCGTAATATTGTTCACAATCTTGTACAATTTTCTATTCGAAATATAGTAAATTGTATAATCTTTCATTCTAGAGCCAATCTAAATCAGAAAATTAGTCTCTGTTAAATCAGCTTATTTTTAGATGGAAACATAAATGTTGGATTCATAGCGATTCAAATATAAACCTGAGTAAAAACGGCTTTTGTACATTTGTGCAATAATAAGTTTTCGTGCGTCTGCGATATCTTAAATGAATTCATGTGAAATCAAAAATGTATAAAGCGTGGAAGATTTTCCCTCGAAGTAGCTTCGCGAGGAATTTTTCTTTCTTTGGAATGAAGAGAATTGGAAGAGAGAACTTAGTCGTCTTATACAAATTTAAAGACGTGAAAATTTAACGATTTCCAGTGGGGCGAATATCTTGGATGAAGGAACATTCCCTGGTTCAATTCCATCGGGTTTTATCGAATCGTTAATCGAAGGTGAGGTCAAACGTTTCAATAAATTCCTCCTCGTCGACGTTTTAATTTTCTATAAACATTTATATAAATATCCGCGGTCCAGTTCTCTCGATATTACATATATATACATACATACATGTACATCTATCTTTTAATCGAAATAAGTTAAACAGTGTCAGATCGCAGAGATGTTCTGGCGACAATCAGACAAAGAAACGACATTAATATGAGCCCGTCGGCTCAGATAGAATCGAGAATAATACACGTCTAGGCGAATAGTTTTTTATAAATGCTCTTCTTCCACGTACATACTTGAAACTCGGTACGTTTCTGTACTTTCTTATAGCAGGAAGAAAGAGCATAAACGAAAGTGGTAGCCGACGTTGAATGGTCGGTATTCCAAGAACACTGGCCAGTGGTGTTCGAGAACCCCTTTTTCTCGACGCAGCCAGCAGCCCACAGTCGTACAGGTGAAGCTCATATCGACCTGCCGCCAGAAATACCGCGCAGCATCGACCGTTGTCGTTATACCTGGTGTGCTTCCTCTTCCCCCGGGGGCCATGCCACCCCCGGCACGGAGGGCGAGAAGAGGCCAGCGGGGGATGCGGATAGCTGGCACAATGGTAGAGGGTTTGGGGGCTGACGCACGGACTCGTCGTCGCGGCCAATCCCTGGATCCTGGAGAACCGCGACTGCGCCCTATCACGATTTCCTCTTCGGCTGCGGGCATCATGGGGACGGGAAGAGGGTGACGTACAACACGGTGGCGGGGAGAACTTCGAGGGCAGACGTTCCAAGGCTACTCCAAAGGAGAGACACGCCGAGACGCCCCTGCCATCGGGAGCCCTTCGGTCTCAGTAAGTATTCTCAGTTACATTTCGATTCTTCTATGTTTGCTCATACCTTTGTTTCTCCACTTATTTTCCAATTGCATCCCTCGCATAACAGTTGTGTTGCGTTCGTCAAAATTTTCGATGTCTCGTGTTCATGGTACCGATCATATGTACATCTTATTTTACGGTTAGATCGTGTCGACCAGTGGTCTCTAAATACACACGTGTATCGTTTCTATTGAAGGTTTTCAGAAATAAAAATCAATTTATTCCCGAGTCTCCACTTATGAACTTTCCACCGTCATTCGGTGTTTCATTGTTCTTAAACATCAAAATTATGGTGTTGTATCTATCAATGAACAAACATTCTTCATGTTTTACGAAAGTGACGTAGAAGAAAATAATTAACAATGATAATGATAAATAGTCGTCTTATCGATTAAACCAGAAATTGAGTGTATATACAGGGTGGTCACGATAATTTGTAGCATCGTTTTATGTCGTAAACGATAAATATTAGAGAAGAACTGGAAAGGAGAAAGTTGTAGTACGTTTGACTATTTAACAATACGTTATCAGTATGTACCGTTATTCTACACAAGAAAAGTGACATACTACTAAATATAATATTATGAAATTTCAACCTTATTTCTTTCATTTCTGCCCCCTTAGGGTCCTGAAGACCGTAGCGTACTACATGATTGAACTCGTCTTATTGCCCGTTTTCATACTAACTATGTGAAAAAATATAAGTACTATTTAAAAAAATGAGTGTCACAAAAAATTTAGATACAATGTCACGTTGCTAGTTAAATATATTACAACCTCCTCCTCTTCAGTTTTTCCTGTTTACCGTTTATGTAAGAACGATGGTCTAAATTATCGTGACCACCCTGTATAACGTGCTATGACATACATCGTTGTGTTACTCGTATATGTAAATAGTGACACCTAATTGCGACAAATGCATTCCTGTGTTACAATATTATAGAACTAGATTTTTTATTTAAAAATCATCATCAAAATTCCATAATTCGTACGATAATTATAAAAAGATCACACAGTATATAGAACTGTATGAATTATAAATGAAGAGTAGATATAATAATTGTTTCAGATTTTTTACTACTTCTGATTCCAACAGATATTTTCGTTGTATAATGAAACGGAGGATATTGTTGCTGATATTTCAGGCTCGGTTGTAAATTCGGCTGAAAAGGTGGAGGGCCCGGGGACAGAAGAAGCTAAGGAGTCGGTGAACGGCTCGGGGCCCGAGGTCGGACCGGACGTCACCACAAAATTGAGCAGTTTGTTCGCCGGACTTCCTAGTTTGGCGGGTCCCCAGCGCCTCGCCTCATCCCTCAGGCAGAGATTCGCCAATAACTCCGGTAAGTTGTCGAATTTTCTTCGGTTCACGGCGTTCCCCTCGTCACGAGACTTGTACGCTTGTCTATGGAGGCTCGTTACGATCGTTGACGAAGTTACGGTTCCCTGCACGCCAACCAGTCATCGTAATTAATAAACGAGGGTGCGGACACGCACCGAACGACGCGACGCGACGTTCCGAGGGACGTCAGTTTACGGATGATCGTTTGATGGAAATAATTAATCCGTTCTGGTCTGGCAGAGATACAACGTTTAAAGTCTTAAACTACGTTTGCCGATATCGAACACGCGTTAAACGTCTTACGAGTAAAACAGAATTAAGTTTAAATTTTCAAGCTATCATCAAACATTTGCTCTCCTTCAGTATTGCAACCGTAAATGTATTTTTAATTGCGCACTTTTTCTGCCGAAGGGGTTCTAAACTATAAACTGAATTTTTCATTGGCGATATAGGGGAGAATAATTCTGAGAGAACATACATACGTAAGACCGAGGTTTGTTCTCGCGTTGGAACGTACACGCGTTCAGCTGTTTTCTTTTCTTTACCCGGCGAGGTTCATTAAATAATTACCACGCACCCCATTTATAGAGTAAAGCCATACCATCCACTGCTCGACCTTCACCCTCGTTTCACCGACGGCGAGACCCCCGTGTTTTTATCTCTCGTAACACGATACGCAATACCAGACATAGGTAGCTAGGTACAGATCGTGCCGCCTTATCGAGGGGGAGCCTCCACCCGGTGTCATGTTCACTTCTATACCCGCCAGAAGCAACCGAGGAATCGACTACACTGTGCGTGGTTGATAAACGGAGCGAAAAACTTGGTCAAATGAAGATGAAAATGAGAACTTGAAACTCGTCTGTGGCGCGCGCGGCGACGATCGCGAACGGTTGGATCGGGGTGGGCAGAAATCGGTAAGCGTCGATCAGGCCGGGTCAGGGCTCCCCTTTCTTTCGAACCTCTCATCGACTCGACGAACGAAAAGATCCCGTGACGAAACTGTGAAATTAGATTCAGGCTAAACCTGAAAGGTACCGGGAAACTTTGAGAACGTAACGGAAACGACAGATTAGAGAAAGAGAAAAGAAAAAAAAGATAATGTACGTGGATCGTGTGGAGGTCTCGGGAGCTAACCGTGTCAATTCGGCGATCTGTTGTAGGTTACCCCTGGCCCGGCCTGATGCGCGCCGCCCTAATCGCGACGATCTCTCCGTCACGATCGCTCTCAAGGTCGCACCAAGTGATCGCGTTTAGTTCCTCTTGCTAGACCCTGGATCATCGTGTTCTGTTAGAAGCGGACACCTAGAACGACCACAATGACGACGATACCGATACTCAACATTGAGTTCAGCGAGCTCAAGGAGTTAATATGGACGAAGTTACAGGAGCCGAAGGCTCAGCGAAAGTTAGTCCTGGTTATCGTATCGATAGCGCTGCTACTCGATAACATGCTCTACATGGTGATAGTGCCGATCATACCCGATTATTTAAAGTATATCGGTGCCTTTGGAGAAGTCGACGATGATGAAAACGCGACGGTGCAGCATCATCATCACGGTCAAGACTCGGCGACGGGAATACTGTTCGCGTCGAAAGCTATCGTCCAGCTGATGGTGAATCCGTTCTCTGGTGCTCTGATCGACAGGATCGGTTACGATATTCCCATGATGATTGGATTGTGCACGATGTTCGTATCGACGGCTGTTTTCGCATGCGGCAGAAGTTACGGAGTTCTGTTCTTCGCTAGGAGCCTTCAGGGAGTGGGTTCAGCGTTCGCGGACACCAGTGGCTTGGCTATGATAGCGGATCGCTACACGGAAGAGTCGGAACGCTCGAAAGCACTTGGTATCGCGTTAGCTTTCATTAGCTTTGGATGTTTGGTAGCACCACCGTTCGGTGGTGCTCTCTATCAATTCGCGGGCAAAGAGGTACCCTTTTTGATACTCGCATTCATCAGTCTCGCCGACGGTGTGATGCTTCTTCTGGTAATGAAACCGTTGAAGGAACAATTGAAGGAGAGGCAGCAGGGAACCCAACAAACGATCCCGATTTGGCGACTGCTCATGGACCCGTACATCGCTGTATGCGCGGGTGCTTTGATGATGTCCAATGTCGCGCTGGCCTTTTTAGAACCTACTATTTCGTTATGGATGGAAGAGAACATAACTCACGATAACTGGAAAATGGGGATGATTTGGTTACCCGCATTCTTTCCCCACGTGTTCGGTGTCATAATCACCGTTAAGATGGCCAAACAGTACCCGCAACATCAGTGGTTGATGGCTGCCTCTGGCCTTGCGTTGGAAGGCATGTGCTGCTTCATGATACCGTTCTGTACTGGCTACAAGGTTCTCATGATCCCGATATGTGGAATCTGTTTCGGTATAGCTCTCATCGACACTGCTTTGCTGCCGACGTTAGGCTACCTGGTGGACGTCAGATACGTCTCCGTGTACGGTAGCATCTACGCTATAGCCGACATCTCGTACAGTTTAGCGTACGCAGTTGGACCTATAATAGCCGGCGGTGTCGTGGAGGCGATCGGTTTCACGGCTTTAAACATCGGCATCGCGTTCTCGAATTTGATGTACGCGCCCGTGCTGATGTACCTAAGGCACATCTACGATTTCAAGCCGTTCCAGGACGAGGCAGACGTTCTCATGCAAGATCCGCCGGACAAAGAGTACCAAACGTACGTGCTGCAAGAGCAGAGACCGCTCTCGGGCGAAGTTGGCAATCATCTGAATCAGACGCGGATGGAAACAAACGTGGATCAAGGTTACGATCAGAACTACCAGGCTGGACAGAATTATGATCAGAGTGGATATGGTCAGAATATTAATGCCGGCGGATATACCCAACCCTCGATGGGATACGAGCAGCCACCTATGTACGAGCAACCGGCCAATTACGGGCAACAGCCTACGAGTTACGGTCAGCATCAGCAGAGACATTACGGACAGGAGCCGCAGGTAGGAGGTCAGATGGACGCGAACCCGTTCAGGAGACCTCCGAATGTCGATCAGATGCCTTCCGGCGATAGCAATCCATTCAGACAAGGAATGTATTAACGCGGTTTACGCAACAGCTTATCGGATAATTGTGATTGTTCGCCAACGAAATATCACACACGCTAGTTTCGCGTCACGATATGAATATCGCGAGATAGTCTTCGAGACAGGCTTCCAAGTCAAGGATAATACTGTTGCATTAGGACGATCGCAACACGCTCGTTCCCTTTCGGTGATTTATCAAGTGCATCGACGCGGCGCGGACTCCCCGTCGTCGTCGTCGTCGTCGTCTTGTGAATTATGAATTATCGAAAGAGACCGTCGTGTCGACTTCCAGAACGATTATTTCAATATTTTAGAGGTCTATCTTATGAAAGAGTACCATCGCGAAGTTCTATGCCTGGCCATGTTCAATGTCGGTCTTCGGGATCATTCAGAGAGTGGTAGTGTTAAAAGATCTTTATCGATCGTATTCGTGTTTTAGGTTTGAGAGAAGCAATTCTTCTTCGGTTAACATGAAATCAGAGCAATTACTATGTCGAAATTTGTGAAGTAACCGTGATTGATATTTAACACAGTTCTGTGGTTTCTAAACACTTACAGTTTTATCGAATTATCTTATTAAATGATTCATTATTGGACTCTTCATAAAAGATAATCTTTTAAAAAATTCTTCCTTCTTCTTCAAAGATCCTGATAGAATTTATATAGTATTATTCATCTTTTATTAAAAACTTATTAGCAATTTTAGATTTTATAAGATAACGACAGATCGGCGTTTAACGCGTTGTAAACGAGGAGGGTAGAACACGAACAGGCAAACAAAATTCATATAAACAAATTCTGTAACATATCTAGAAGATAAAGCAATATAAGGAACAGAAAATCGTCACCTGTGACCGTAAGGCACAGGAGTGAAACAATACAATGTTTGTACAAAGTCAGAGACAGAAGTGATGCAATAATGGAAAAAAAATTCGCGAGAGGAGAGGCATCGGTGTCGATAATAATCCGAAAGGAGGAGATCCATGGGGATTCATGGACGAGGCTGAGAACAGAAACAACACGACCGCTACGGAGGCTTTCCCTCAGCAAGGACCTTCGCACGGTTCGTTGCCAAAGAGATTGGCAGAATCCTTGGTTTTTATCCGTTTCGTTCGCGTTTCATTTGCTGAACTGAAGAACACATATCACTAATTAAGTAACTCGAGTTATTAACTGTTGAGGCTTTCATGTAGGTAATTGTATAGATAGGGTGTATGGTAAACGAGAGAGGAGGCAAGCTCTCCTATAGCCGTAATGTATTACGATATCGACGAAGTACGTTGTGACCATTAAACCGTAATAACTTATCATTATATTATTTCATATCTATCTACCGTCGCCGATAGTCAAGTGATTATTTTATTAGCGATCTGAATTCGAGTTTCTCGGGGGCAGAGCGTTCGCGTAGATGTACTCAGGATGGCTCGGTTTTTATTACGTAGTTCAATGATTTCGACTTAGCAAGTGTCGGTATGCTAAATTCACCGTTCGCTGATTAATCGTCAAACGGGACAGAAATTTTATACAGTTTGATATTTCTAATTTACAATTAAACGAGGATCGATGAGACTTGATTAGTTAGCTGAGTTAGCACTCTTTTAGTAATTTTGACAAGGGATACTGATAGGGCAATACTGATCACGTTTCGAGATATAGTACGTACATTAACTGCTACATATCTGTATTTTCATGAGCTTATTTTTGTATGTAGAGACACTTCCGTTCGAATCTCGTTCGTTTGATTCGCTGTGGATAATCGGACAGTATTTAACTGATACGTAAACTTATACATATGCATTCCTATACATACTATGTATATAAATATGTAACGCGTATACTAACTATTATTATGCGCCAGCGACCCGCACGTAAAGCTTTACGAGTCCTTTGAAATTCTTTCGCGAACACGGCTGGTTAAAATCATTCGTTTTATTCGCAACTACACACTAGGTTCACGCACAATAAATATCATTTCACCGACTCTGGACTTGCGCGTTAATACATGAAATATTATAATTTTTATACATGACAATTATTAATACATGAAGTATTATAATTTAGTAACTCTGTCAAAAAAAAAAAATAGGTCTCGTTCCTTATGAGCGTTGAATATTAGTAAATACGTAACAGAAGTATTATTTGTTGAATCGTAAATTTATATACAAAACTAAATCTCTGTTTATAAGAGAATGGAAGAAACTTGTTTTACATCGACAGCTGATCACACAGTAACGCAACACCGCAACTTATCGCGTTAATCATACTAAATGATGAATCAGAATACGAAACCTTGACATATCCATTTTATCCGGGTAAATGACGTTTCGCATACGTCAAACTAAAAGCATCGAGTAGAACGTGAAATCCATTTGCTTCCGTTGTCACACGTCGCGACGCCCAATTTTAGGCGCAAAAAATTGATCGCAACTCGCGAAATGTATCCGCACATCAAAATCACGCAGTGAAATAGAAACGACTAGCTAGTAGAGAGGGGGGGGGGTTGGATCGTGTTTTGAGAGACTCGTCAAATTTTACGCACGCGTCCAAAGCATGTTCGTACCTACTCGTCAATACTCAGAGACGTCGCAAGGAGAATAGAAAGGAAAAAAGAGAGGAACGATGTAATCGGAAAACGGTGTACGAAAAAGTTCGACTCTTTCAGCCGATATTTAGGGTCACCGGTGTTCGACTAATTCAAGGACTCGGTGCGGTAATGTGAGCTTCGGGGTGGCGCGTCAGTTGTACTTAGCGCTTCGCTGAAGAATCTTCGCATCGCGTCGCGTCCTTCGAAATCGTCGTCATAATAAGCGCTTTGAGTTAACAGTGCCTGAACTTTCAAATTTTTACCCCGTTCTCCCGTTGTCGTGAAAATTCGTAATTCGCAGACTGTACCTATACTCCCGACCTCGTGAAATCTATGTACCCGAGTCTAAGTAACGTAGAGATTCTAGGTAGGTACACTAATTACGTATGTAAGCGTGTTCGATTAGAGTAGACGAGCGCAGTTTTCATTCTTTCGTTCATAGGCGAAAATTCAATGTCGTGATAAAAAGATGTTTATACTATATATAGGTGTACGTATGCGGACTGAGTAAGATGTTTGGATCAAATTGGAAGTAGAAGTTCATGTAGAGAGAAGTTGAAACTGTTCTACTGTTCTTTTGCTAGGCTATTGTATATTTTCGTCTCGCAAAAAATTAAATAGATTCATAATCTCAGACCAATGAAAATCATCGGTTTTAGAATTCATACATTGTCTCGACGTTGCTTTTGCAATTCTTTTTCTGCACGGTAGTAATCTTTCTCGAACGGAGCGCAAGACACACATGACTCGCTCCAATTGTCTACCACACCCTGTATTTGCAGTTCCGTTTCTATGAGCTGGCCTCTATTAATAACGTCTTAAGGTAACGATTGGTAACGAAAATAAAACAAAAACAACGCGACACTTGCCGATAGTTATCGATGAATGAGGATCGTCGCGAAAATATGTGCACCGTGATTTAGCTTATTGTTAGTCAATTATACTTGGAGGAAGTTATTGATTACTTCGCCGTAGTTTATTAAAATAATTTAACTGCTATACAGTTTTCTATAGTAATATGTATATACGATACGTTGCAACTATTTAAAATTCTTAAAAGCCGGAACAATAGGATCTATCAAAGAAGTATCGTACTTTATGTTTTCTACGTATCGTTCTATTCTACATTGTTAAAACTTGTTAGTATGCTGCGTAACAAGTTGATCATATATTATCCCTATTCAAGGAAATATTTTCTGATTATCATTTTTGTTAAGTTTTAATATTTTAATATACAGAGTACTTCATTGAAGTAGCCAGTTGTTGATTGCAGATTAGAGCATCTTCTATCACTATACAACGAATTTCTTTTTCGGTTCGACTGACACGGTTCATGATCATAATTCATATCGGAGAGATTTTAATGCTTGACGAGGTAATTTATATTATATTGTATCATAGCAAAGTTAAATAATATCTATCATGTACGTATCGAGCATATAACGTATACAGGATATTTTCAATCTGACGATACGATAGGATAGAACGTGATATCGCAGGTAAAAGTAAATTAAAAATATCGAATATCATTTTTTCACATCAGGTTTCGTTATTCTACTCTTTTAATTTGCTTTTACACGATGCGTTGCTTCTCCGTTGAACGAGCTTGGGAATATTCTGTATACAACATATAATAAAGTATCTAAAATACGTAAATGAAGCTTCTTTATGTATGATTCTATATACATGAAGAGTATTAGAGATGGGAATTCTTTCCTGTTTCTCCTCGATGCGAGTTCGCACCGTTGGGAGCAAACGATAGCTATCGGGCAACGCGTTGTATGTATTTACTTATATGGCAAGTTGTATCACAGAATATTATACTATACATATGCGTAATAAAAGTATAAAAGTATACATACATATGAATATAATAGACATGAGTATTAACGTATAACACGCACGTACACATAGCTTCTTTTATCTCTTGTAAATACGTTATACGGTATGTGCGCGAATACATATATATATATATGTATATTTAAAAAGAGAAAAGAAAAAAAGAAATAATATACATATAGTGATCTTTCTCTTTTTTTCCGTACGAGGGACCTGCGTATATATGACATATCTCGCCTATATGTATTATATTGTTTGTGTGAGGTTGTAGCATGAACGCGAGCGATTTAAACGCGAAACGTGTGAGGAATATGCGATAAAAGGTAAGGAAATAAATAAAACGGTGTGTTCGTGATTTAGAAATGTCGAACGTTTAGATTGCTCGCGATATTTTTGTCAATTTTGTCTGTTTATTAGCCCCTTTTATTGTGCGAGGAGAGATTAACACATTAAGAAAACCACGTACACGCTTTAACGACGAATTAAGAGCGTCTTGCCGCGAAGCTCAGATTGATGCAAAATTAATAGGAGTTTCTATCTTCAGGTCTGAGAAATTCGAAGAAATAACGTTCATCATGGTGCCAATTGTCTGTTGTATTTTCCATACTTTGATAGAATGATTTCATCAATAACCGGATGACAATTCCTAACTTGGGATTAAAAAGTTATTTATATCCCTATAGAATTCCTAGGTCGCAGGTTGCAATATTTACGTACTGATTAGTTAAGGAAGGAAATAATTAGGATATGCGAGAGGACACAATTGTTCGATTTTTGCCTAATTCTTTATTATGTCGAACAATTAACAAGATTTACTTACACTTTCTGAATATAATATAGTGCGACGAATTAATGTATTTTGCTCAAAATTGTTTTATCGAAACCTCGCTCCTTGTCACATTCAATGACGTAAGCACAGAAAGCACAGTATTATGTCTATTTGAGAAAACTTCTATTATACTTGCGTCAGTCTGATGTCTACGAATTGCCGAGATAATTATTTACCCTTCCATGAAATGCACGGTGATGCAAAATACATTGACGGCCGCACTTGGAAATTGTTTAAACCAACCGACACCGAAACCGGAAACGTAGCAATTGCACTCGCACTTCCTGCGCGCATACTTCAGTATGCAAAGATGCACGTGCGCCTATACTGAGGATTATACATATGTACACAACATACATGCATACACGCAAACGAATCACTGGCGTATTGGCACGCGAGTATGACGAGGTAGTTACGTGAGACAAAACGAAGGTACTTACTACACACGACGGCGACGATGGTGGCACACACATAACCAGCACACAATGCATATGTACCATGTACGTATGTATATTCAAAGAAATCGAGTACCGATGCTGTGTATGTATTTGAAATCTATGATACTGTAATGTTGTTGAACCGGTTATTAAAGATGTCATTGTTACCGAAGAATACCATGAGTTATGCTCTTTAACACATCAATGACCATGTCGTATCAATTGATTTCGCAATCAGTCCAATGATTTGTTATGTTCATACATTGTCGAGTACATTACGGTTAATTTGTGAGAGCAGTTGTTAATCGATTGAATAAAAAAAAGAATTAACGAAATGATTATTTTCATTGATTTATTTCCATTTTCAGTTCTCGCAATTACAACGAACCCAACTTTCCCTATTACTAAAGATTCTTTCATGATTAAGAAATAATTACTTACAGGATGTTTCTACGATTTTATATTTCAGTAAGTGCTATTACATCGCCTGCGACGATGATTTGCATATATG